CAGCCCTGATGGGGAAGCTCAGCCAATCACATTCTGTTTAGGGTGTGGCTCCCTGAGGCCAAGAAGAAAGGATAAAAGCATCCAGGTGTGCTTGCCCTCTCTTTTTGTTTCTCTCTGTGCTCCTGGTGTTCGCGGGATCATTGGTCATGTGAGTTTTCTGTTTTTCCAATTATTAAATATATTACTATTTATCTTTGAGCTGGTCTGATTAATTCTGTCGATCGACCACGCCCATCAGCCCTCCTACACCCATGGCCACCTCTTTTATACTTATAGTGAGGGGTGGGCTGTCTCTTCAGAGGTCTAGGGGCCAGCTCTCCTGCTGCAGTGTCCAGTGAGGGGCAGGTATGGCCTACCTTTTCACCGGCCCAAGGAAGAAAAAAAATTGAGCTCAAATGAACTTTCCTCTTCCTTAATTATCTTCTTTATGTCAATGGAAAAGCTGACTATATAATGTAATCAACAGTCCAGTTTAGTTTCAAAGTCTACTTTGAGCTGACCTGTTTGGTACCTCATGTAACTTGGAGACTACATGGAGAGTTTAAGGTACATTTCCAGTTTCTAGTGCTTCTGTGATCCTCTTCCACTCTGTGTTCCTTATGCCCATTTGCAGATGTCAGGGTTTTCTGTTCTTTCACCCTGCCTATTTTTCCAACAATCTGAACTTCATTTCTTTCGTAAGACGGACTTCCTGTTGTATTTGTTTGTTTGTCTTCTCTGAGTTGTTTGAACATAGCTATCATCATTCTTTTAAAATTCTGTCTGGGAGTTTCCGGTCATTTTCATTAGGGGCCATTATTAAGGGACTTGTATTTTTGGAGGTATGTGTATTTTATGGATGTGTGCGTTGTTTTTATTTCTTCATTGAGATTTGTGTCTTTGAAGCTAAGTTTGGTGGTTGAGTTTTTTCTTTTTTTTCAACAGGTGTGTGTATTCAGCCTTTAGTAGCATGGTTAGGATTGTGATTTCCCATTTGGTATTCAGGGCTACAGTCTCTATCCAGGTCCTGTCTTCTACTGGTCATCTAGTCAAGTGCCTGCAGTGGGTAGGCCAATGAGGGTCAAACAAGATTTCCCTAGTAGTGTGGCCTGATCATGAGTCTCAAGCTTAGACAGGACAACTGGAGGGTCCCAGTCATATGGTGGGCAGGGTTCTGGAGAATCTAAAGGGCAGGGGAAGACTGGGCCTCAAGACAACAGTTGGTGGCTCAGAGAGTTGCTGGTGGAAAATGGGCTGGGATCTGTCTGGTTAAGTCCCAAAAAGAGTGAGAGAGGCCTGGGGGTGGTGTGGTGAAGATAAAGGTTCTTGGCAAGCTGCTGAGAGCTTGGGCAACTTAAATGGAGTGTTCAGAAGTTCTGAAGACTACACAAGTAATCTTCTCGGATCTTAGGACTACTTGAACAGCTGTTTCATCCAGCACATTAAATTTCTGTGAACCATTTGCTTTTCATCTCCATGGCCCTAACTGCACAATTTACTATAATTTGTTTAAGATCCTGCAGCCAAAAGTTTTTCTCAGGTTAATTTGTACTACCAGCTCACCGTGGTGACATTTTGTTTGTTTCTGACAAATAAGGCTTGTCTGGAGATCAGAGGGTGGAGCTAGTCACTAGTTAGTCTAAGAGGTCAGGCAGTGGTGGCACACACCTTTAATCCCCACGCTTGAGACAAAGCAGGAGTTCAAGGCCACCCTGGGCTACAGGAGGTTGAATCAGTTTTAAAGAGAACAGGCTCACACACTTAATCCCAGTACTAGGGAGGTGGAGACAGGACTACAAGTGGGGGTGGAAAGGATCTTGGGACATTCAATCTGAGAACCTGTAGAGAGAGAATATCCTGTTCCGTCTAAGGATTTCATAGAAGCAGAGCTGGCTGCTCTGCTTCTCCTAATATCTGACTCCAGGTTTTTATTATTAAAACCAATTAGAATTGGCGCTACAATCCAGTGTCCACGTGCCAGCATTATGATGGGATGCTTGACAGAGCTCTGCCCCTCACTTTTGCAGAAGAAAAGCCCATTTGCTTCTTTTTTTCTTCTTGAGATAGAGTCTCGCTGTGTAGCTGTGTGGCTCGTTCACTATTCTCATGTCTCATCCCGAGTACTTGGGTTGTACGCATGTACTACTGTACCCAGCCCCAACTTCTGATTTATAAAACCCTGCTGTTTTACCTAGCATCCGATGCCATTCTTTCCTTGGAACCTCAGACTGTTGTGTGTTCAGTTCTTTGACCACTAAACCTTCCGTAACATCTCTGCATGCTCAGCTCTTGCCTAAGAGAGATTCTTTCTCCTTTAATGCTCACAGCTGGCATCTGCTCTCCTATTGGGTAGCTTCACTACCACTGTAATGGTCTGTCCTGTTCCTTTAAGAGACACTCCCCCCCCCCCTTTCTGGCCTGAGCTCTCTTCCTTTCTGTCTGTCTGTCTGTCTGTCTCTCTCAGGCAGCTTCTGTTCTTCTGTCTCTCCCTTCTCCCCATTTCTCCCCTTCCCCGCTTCTCTCTCTGTTCTTCTCACTTCTCCCCTTCCCCCCTGTTTCTCTCTCTCTGCTCTTTCCCCTTCCCCCCTAAATATATAACCCACTAAATATCCAACTTCACTCTCAGTCTCCGTCTCAGTCTCTCACCAGCCATGCGGCTTCCTGCCTGGGACCTGGCTGCCTTCGTGGCTTGCTGTGATCTCAGGAACTGCTGCCCACTGCCGCCACTGGGGACCTGCAGCATTTTACTTAAACCATTACAACCACCTCCTCAAAGAAGTGCAGATTCACATTATTGTGACATACGTGATATGTACACATATGCATTGGATGTGTGTGAGAGATAGGGGTGCATTGTGCATGGGCACATAGCCTGTATGTGGAAGACAGAGGACAACCTGTGGGAGCTGGGTCTACTACCCTGTGGGTTTTGGGACTGAACTCAGGCTGTCAGACTTGGTGACAAGCGTCTTTACCTGCTGAGCTACCTCCTCAACCCCATAACTCAGTTCTTGATGGCTACATGAAGAAATTAAAATCTGAAAACCAAACCTGAATGCAAACACCCTGAGCTTCAGGAGTAACCGGGTAGCAGTGATGATGGGTTACAAGCCTGTAGCAGCAGGTGTGTGCAGGACTGTGGAGAAAACCAGTTCTCAGGACGTCCATGACACCTGACTAAGTGGGGGCCGTATGCTGCTTAGAATGCAGATCCTATCCTGTGCAAAAGCCTTGGGTTTGATCCCTAGCATTTAAGAAAAAGAATGCAGATCTTATCTTCATTATTTTTGCGAGACAGTTATTGTGTAGACTAAGCTGACCTCCAGCTCGTGTTCCTCCCCCTCAGTTTCTGAGTACACATTGTGTATATCCATTGTCTGCCCCATTAACTTCAGTATTCTTTACCTGCAATATATGCTATTTATGAGGCATATTATAAAGCCCTTTGTAAATAGCCTGTATGAGAAGCTGTGGGGAGTGGAGGAAACTTCAAATAAGTGTGGAAGGAGTGAACGAAGTCCTGAGTGGATGTGTATTATTGACAAGGACCCCAATGCCCTCGACCCATGGGAACTGGCAGTCTTCTCTGGCTGGACTGAAATTGACAGCTTATAGCATCAACTGCTCCCTTACAGACACCTCCTACTGGGACTAGCTAGTTCTTCCTGTGCTGTACATACAAACAGCTCTGAGTTGTTGCCTAGAAGCAGGTGCCACTCCAGCAGAGCGAGTTCAGCCCACTTGAGCCAGTTTTTCATCTGTGTGTCTGTTCTTTCTTCGGTCTTTAAGGGCCCTGTAAATGTTAAAACTGAACAATACTTCAAGCCATTTTAAAATTTTTCATTTGAGATGGGATTTTGCTATGTTGCTGAGGCTAGTCTTGAACTTGTGTGGGCTCAGCCTTTCATGCTGCGGGGACTGTCCCTGTCGCCAGCATGTCAGGCTTACCATTTACTTTCGAGTTTATTTGGAAATACTTCATATTAAATACTTTTCCTCTTTCATATATTGTTTACTAAGAACTTAAAAACATCAATGGCGGATCAGGATAAGAGATTTTCTATCATTTAACCTTGCCTTTCTGCCCCATGTGGTTGGACTAGAGACTGCTCTTCCCAATGGCCAGACCAATCAGATCATACTTGGTGGCTGTAAGCAAATCACTTAGTTGTCCTCAGGATCTGAGGTACAAATGTTACAGTCAGGATCAAATATATGACGGTGGGAACTAAACCCTCTGGAACGAGGCCTGGGGAAGACCCTGACTTTGCACTACTTAGTCTCCCAGGGACCCAGTGTGATGGCCTGATGAGATGCCTTGGGCATCTGAATACCTGATCCCTAGATGGTGCTGCTGTTTGGGGAGGCTTACGTGTGGCCTGGAGGAGGAAGTCCGACATCTGGTTTTGAGAGTAGAGACCCCCTCACTGCTAGTTTGCTCTCTCTGCTTAGTGCCTGCAGTTCCTGCTTCACCACCCTGAAGCCTAACTCCCCTGGACTAGAAATGCCCTAACACAGGCTCTCTTCTCTAAGTGACATGGCTGTGGTGTTTCAAAACAACAATAGAAAAGTAACTAATATATATTCAGCTAGTCTTTGTTTCTGATAAGTTTACAAGGAACTCTTTTCTTGTGTTCAATGAAAGAAAAGACTTTTCATGGACCTCAGTATTTTTAAAGGACAGATTAAATTTTTCCAGTACTATTTTTTTATGCTTAGACATATATTTTGAAAGTAGGATTAATATAACTATCTACTATGACAGAGATCAGGATTTATATATCACAGAATGAAGAAGGAAACTAAGAAGAAAAAAACACAGCAGCCCCTAATAAATACAAATATTTGCTGAATAGATTTTTTTTTTTTGTTCCTCTGTCTCATGTAGTTGAGGCTGGCTGACTTGAAACTGACCTTAAATTCTTAATTTTCCTGCCTCTGTTTTCCATGTGCTAGGATTACAGGCATAAGCCGCCTTGACAGGCTGAATATGATCTCAATAGCAGAATTTAAAAAAAAAACGCTTTTAATTTCAGGTTTATTTTCAGTGTTTCACACAGATCTGTAACGTTCGTGATATGGACACCAACAGTTTTTCAGATACAAAGTGCTGGACTTCCCTGGCAAAATTTTTTTTCCAGACAAAATAACCAAACAAAACATTATTTTAGGAGATGGTGTTATCACACTCCACCCAAATCACAAATCTGGCAGTGGTTAAAATCAAAGACACTATCACCTGCCACACTATCACTCTGAGCCTCCACACAGTGCCCAGAAACTGAAGAAAACCAAACTACAAAATTCACTTTGGAAAAGGGAGTTCTTTTTCTAATTTTGGCCTTAAGATCGTTTTTAATTGCTTAAAAAAATCTGGTGAGTGTTGTGTGTGAAAGAAGGGGCTGCAGGTTCAACACATCTGAAGATCCGAGGACTCCCACCTGAAGGGAAAGGGGAAAATGCCAAAAGCAAGAATGTCTTATAAATAAGAGTCTTTCCTCAAGATGGCTGGTGCTGGTTTCAGCTGCACCTGTGGGAGACGTCTTCTCACAAATGGCTTGATTATAATGTCTTTTGTAAAATCGAGTTGACAACCTCCAGTGATTCTTCTTTTACTAAAACAATATCGTAAGAGTCCATGTATTGTTCTAAAAGGTCGTCTACCTAATTAACAGAAGAATAAAAATACAATAAACATCCAGAGAAATGCAAATAATTTCCACTTTAACCTCATAATATTAGATCTGTAGAATATAAATCTATCTTTTTTTCCCCCCTTTTTGAGACAGGGTTTTTCTGTATAGCTTTGGAGCCTGTCCTAGAACTCACACTATAGACTATACTGGCCTTGAACTCACAGAGATCCGCCTGCCTCTGCCTCCCAAGTGCTGGGATTAAAGGTGCATGCCACCACCGCCCAGCAAAATCTAATTTCATAAAAGTTGTAAAATAAAACATTCTCAAATTCTTTTTAAAGGAAGTAATTTTGTTTCTGATTGAGGTTTTAATTTTCTGAGACACGGTCTTGCTGTCTAAGCTTACCCTGGCCTTCAGGCTGAGTCCTCCTGCCTCAGCCTCCTGGTGGCTGCGAAGACAGGCCTGCAGCATCACCGCGGCAAGCTTATTCTTTGGCTTAGACTCAGGGACAAGAAGTTTCCACATGGGTACTTTTCTCCCTACATAGTTTCTTTCCATTCCGGGGGCTCTGACTTTGGGCAACTCTGTACAAGGAATATTTGGCAACGCATGAAGACAGCTTCACGACTAGGAAGTACTGCCTGCTGCCACTTGGGGACTATGCCCTCCACAGCTCACACAGTCTGAGCTTCCTATCTCCTCTGTCACTCCAAAGCGGGACAGTAAAATACCTTTCTCACCTGCCTTTGGCAACTGATTACAAGGTTTCATCTTACATTTTTCAAGAGAAAATTAAACTGCAGCCCCGCACACTCACTCTGTCATTCAGATACCCAATTTTCAGAATGTGTTCAACGTTGGCTACGCCGTCTGCCATCCTCAAGTCTCCCTGGGAGTCCCCCAGCAGAATAATGTTGCTGTTGTCTTTCAGTTGGTTGAAATAGTCTGTGTTCTTCAAGGCACCATCATGTTTGTTGAATACATGAATTAGTTCTCCTTTGAATCCTTTCAGTACTCCCTATGAGAGAGATTTAAAGAACCACGTAAGAAAAACTTTATTGTATTTATTCATGGCATGCATATGTATACAGGTGCAATGTGGCAGTGAATATTTGAAGGATGAGGGGACGACTTGACTTGCAGGAGCTGGCCCCCTCCTACCCTGCGCACCTGGGGATTAAAATCCGTTGTCAGGCTTGGTGAGGAGCACCTTTAAGTACTGAGCCATCTCTCTGGCTTGAAATAATAGGTTTTACAAACTCTACTTGTTAGATCTTTTACATTTTACGATATTAAAAAGATGCCACTATTTGCCATATCTTTAAATTTGTCTTGATTTCAAACATGGAAGTCCAAGACAGGTAGGAGGGCTCAAAAAAGCATATTCTCTTTTTTAAATGGCAAAACTCAGCTAATCAATAATTCAACTTTTCATTTTGTTCCTAGTCAAAGGATTCTATTTTATGCTTTTTGCTGTTATTTTATTTTGCTTGAGACTATGTGGCCTAGGCACTGAGCTCATGACCCTACTAACCTCAGCCTTTCTGAATGCTGGGATTACATCATTCTCCGATATACCCAGAACATTTTACAGTATACTCATTGAAAAAAAATGCTATTATTATTCATATCTTTTTTTTCACTTAAGATGTAGTCTTTAGGGTTGCACTGTTAAATTACTGTCGTGTAAGTTTTGTGAATTTTAATATTCGCTTATTAACTTGTTAATAAAACTTTAAGGAGAGCATAAAATATACATACAATACTGAGAAAGCAAATCTCATTAATAGTCTACGAGCATCATCTAATTTAACAAACATCTATATGATATTAATAAAGAACATGTGATTTACATGATTAAAATAGTTCAGGTTGGATATTAGCCTTAAGGAATGAATTCATATCCTTACATTTTCATCAAAATCCATGAAGTTGGATACCACTTTGACATTTGAATGGTAAACTCCAGCTTGACGTATAACTTCTTCAAGCACATCACCGATACCAGCCGAAAATATGAACACAGGGATACCGTGCTGATGAAGTTTACCAAAGAAATTCTCATATCCTTCCCTGCAAGTGGAGACAGAGTGGTAATGAGCAAGATCGATTTCTCTCTCTCTCTCTTAGAAAGTATAAAACAAAAATATTTCTACCTACTTCTGCAAATCATATTCCCATTCTAAAACAGTGACCCAGTCAGCAGGTGACTCTGCTTGGCCATTAGTGCTCACAGCCCCAGCTAGACGTTTCAGACTCACAGCAAGCAGGGATAAAAGCCTACAGTTGACACCATTTAAAAGCAAGGGGTCAAATCATACTGCGAAAAGCCCTTTAAAGCCCACTAGGCTGAGCTTGAAGGCCACCCGCCTGAGGTCCTGCTGCTCTGCCCTCCCTACCTCCAGAACTTCGCTGCTTGTCACCATATTACGAACAAGTTGAAAAAACTGAAGGTTGGTGCAAAGTACTGAAAGTAAGCTTGGTGATTTTCACAAAGTTATAACCCAAACACTATAAATAGTGCACACACACGTGTGTGCGCGCGCATGTGCGTGCTGTGCAGTAATTACTAAGTAGACCAAGTTGGCCTTCAGCTGGCTGTGATTCCCCGATCTCTGCGTCCTAAACACTGTAATCACAGGTTTCAACACTAAGCAAAGCCTTCCAAATATTTTACCTATAAACTAAAATGTTTCCCTTCCCTGTAAAGTTTTCAAAGCATAAGAATTCCGAAGGTGATTCTTATGCTTCTGAATCATGTAGATTCAGAAACACTTCTTAGTTGAAACCTTCCTAGCTTATAATATTTCCTTTAAATTTCAGATCTTTCAAAACCAGTTTCCTAAAGAACTTGAAAATGATAATGGTTATTTAAGTCTATACATTATTCTTAATTATTTTTTTCAAATTTTGGAGAAAGGAAATACCAGTCATCACTTAAATCTTTCAATGCTCTTGTCAAATCTAAATGAACAAACTTCTTTTTTTAAAAGACAGTTTCATGCACCTCAAGCTGGCCTCAGACTTGCTATTTTATTCAGGATCCTCCTGCCTGTATCCCCCAAGTGCAGGGACTAGTGCCACCATGCCTGGGTTTTAAAAAATGTTTTACAATTTTATTCTATGTTATGGGTGTTTTGCCTGCATGTATCTCTGTATATCATGTGCATTCCTGGTGCCATTGGAGGCCAGAAAAGGGTGTTGGGTCCCCTGGAACTGGGTTATAGATGGCTGTGAGCTGCCATGTGAGCGCTGGAAATCGAACCCTGGTCCTCTGGAAGATCAGCATGTGCTCTTATCAGCTGAGCCACCTCTCCATCCCCTTACTGTGCCAGTTTTACTCAGTGCTCATATCAAACAAAGCTGTCGGCGTGCTAAACAGGCACTCTGGATAACTGAGTGTATCCCCCCAAACCCTAATAGCTCTAACCTAGAATATTTTTCTTATCTCACCACTATTCATTTTGTAATAATGATATATTTTAACCGTTTTATGGAATAATGTCATAGCTTATTTTGATTAAAACATGTAATTGAATTTATACAATAGTTAATTATGTAAACAATAAAAACAACAAAACCCAGGAGACTTACTTGAGCATGACATCAGAGTCTGCCACAATCTCTTTAAGTTTGGCTTTTGGTATGCCTTGTTCAACAAGCAAACCATGTGATTTAGTATACCTGGAATTTATGGCCAGAGGAGGGGAGAGATACCAGTTAAAATCTTAAAACTATTATCTTTATTATCAGGGACCAGAGCTTATTCCACTCTCAGATAAACCTAACTGTAAACAGTCCTTTATCCACAAAGAAATCAGTCTTGGTAAGTTTTCCCAAACTAGCTCCAGTTTTGATTCTGCAGGTGGGCAGAGAAAGCCTCTGTTCCACGTTCACTACAACACACAGGTGAGCTGTCCACATTCCCTGACAGCCACTGAGAATACTCCTGGTCCACAAGTTAAAAGTCGATGCTGCCACTCAAACCAAAAACACTTTCCACTTTAGGGGTTGCTTTTCAGAGAACTAGGGGACTCTTCTGCACCTCTACATTTGCCAAGGTCTGTTCTGTCCAGGAGCTCCACACAAAGCTCTCACCACGGTCCCCTCGAGTGCTGCAGTTTGAGGAACAACACCAGAGGCAGGGCTGCATGTTGGGGTGGGTGTGGTGTGGACCCTACTTCTTTTTCTTTGTTCTTAGATTGTGTCTTTTCTAAGAAGCTTTAAAATAAAGATCTGGCTTTAAGACTTAAGTGCCGGATTTTTTATTTACCCTCACTACATGTCATCGTGAGACCAGTCACAAACTGTTAATTCCCTAGAGTGACTGTCAGTCTTTCTGTATTTATTCTATCTGCACTTGTTACGGGGGAACACTGCCACAGCCTGTAACTGGGCCACTGCGCTCTCAGCCCTTCAGCGCTCCCAGGGCTCCAGATGCACTCACCACTCTACCATGTAAGGGAACTTCTCTTCCACGGTGAGGTCGGGAGCAACCTCAATGGCGTAATACTGCTTCTTCAGCTGCAGCAGCTGGAAGGAGAGGGTAACTTAGTGGTGAGGACTACAGTTTTGTCACTTGCCTGATTATCACAGAAAACAATGCAAAAAATACAAAACAATGAGGCCTTTAAGCTACTTTCCAGTAAAGAATAAAGTTGGAGATGGTTTGATCTTGGTTTACATATAATTAGAGACAACAACAGAAGCCACCTTTCTTCCAAGTCAGCAATTCAGAAGTCATGAGAAAAAATGGGAGGCTTCCTCTCAGCTCTGCTCTGGAAGGCATTGCACATGTTGGGCAAGTGATCTCTCTGACCTGCCACTGAGCTACAGCCCAGCCCTAGTTGGACTTCCTATTTTGGGCCCGGTTCTGTGCTAGTTACCCAGGTGGCTTTGACCCTTTCAAATCCTTCTGCCTCAGCCTAAGTAGTAGGATTACAGGCCCGAACCACCAGACCTGACAACAAGTTTAGTCCTGAAATCTAAATAAAGAGCTTTGATAGGCACCCTGTGCCGCCGTTAAGATAGAGGCAGGCACCACAGGCATGCCCTGATCAGTTTAAGGGGGCAAATTAGCATGAGACTCAAGCACCTTGCCTTCCCAGTTAACGTAAGGACCCAGAGGGCTGTAATAACAACTTCGGACACTGGTTGTGCGGTCACTGGTTGCACACCCTGTAATCCCAGCACTTGGGAGGTCAAGGAAAGGGGAATGGAATGTTTTCTTCAGCTAGCCAGTGAGTTAAAAGCTGAATGAGACACCCTGTCTTGAAGGGAAAAAAAAAACCAAGATGGAATAAATTTGATATTTATTGAATACTTAATGTGCCAGATATAACTTAAAAGCACTCACTTCTTTTGGGGGATGGGGGTGGGTGGAGGATTAGGTCTCACCATTTTGCTAAAACTGACCCTAAACTTGAAATCATCTCCCTTCAGTACTCTAGTCTGGGAGTACACGCGGATGCCATCATGGCTAGCTTTTGACATTCATTCCTGTCTGAATAAAATAATCAGCTGAGGCAATGAAGGATTAACTATACATTTGAAATGATATTTACCTTTTCTCGACATTCGTCTGTAACAAGTTTACAGTTGTCAATGATATCTAGAGAGAGAGAGAGAGAGAGAGAGAGAGAGAGAGAGAGAGAGAGAGAGAGAAAGAGTGAGTGCATAGCATCGGCATTAAAGAAAATATTCTGGTTGATGCGACCACTAATAAAGAAAACTTGCTTCTTCTATTTTTAAACGCCAAGTCAGTTACTATGGTTGGTGCATTTTTGGCCGCAGTGCTGTATTTCAAATGGCACCACTACAGGAGGATGGCTTCAAGATCTGAGATTTAGTGATTCTCCACCTCAGCACTGCGCGAACAGTTCAGCGGGCCGCTATTCTCATCTTCCTTTTTAATAAACAGAAGCAACAGATACATCTCAATATACATCATTTTCCTTTCTTTTTGTTTTGAGAGGGTGAACTTGGTTAGTTCTTGTTAACATGACACAAACAAACTATAGTCATCTGGGAACACCAAGAAGAAACACCAATTGAGGAACCGCATTCAACACATTGGCCTGTGGCCATGTCCGTGGGGCATTTTGCTTGATCAGTAACCGATGTGAAAAGGCCCAGCCCAATGTGGGCGATTCTTCCCCAACAAGGGTCTTGGGTAGAATAGGAAAGTAGGCTGAGTAAGCATTAGGAGAGCAAGCTAGTAAACAATATTCCTCCAGTCTCTGCCTGAGCTCCTCTCCGGTTCCTGCTTGAGCTCCTGTCTTGGCTTCCCGATACACTAAACCACAGCTGCAGCAAAATAACCCTGTTCCTCCCCAAGTTGCTTTTGATCATAATGTTTAGCAAGAGAAACCCAACTAATAAACAACATTTGATAAATGTTACTTTTTTAGGTTATTGCAAAATTTAAACCCTTTCAAGTAATTCTTGGGTAATAAATAGACTATACACAGTGAGAAATATTTTGAAGTCTTCATCAATTCCCTTTACTTCTAAAAGCACACAAAAAATAGCCATTTACCTAAGAGGAATAAAAACAATTTCTCAAAACATAATAAGAAAAGCGAAGTTTCTTTACTTTTAAAATCAAAAGGAGAAAAGAAAAAAAAAACCCCAGTCATTTCCAATTACATTCATTTACTTAAGAGCATCACTTACTATGACATGATGGGCATCTTCTCCCATTGTAGGAGAACCTACTTAGCGTCATATCAAAGTCTGTTATTATCTGTGAGAAAAAGGAGAAGGAAAAATGTAAATGAGTGCACCACAGCCACAAGCTCACTGTGCTAACCAAATGCACAGCTGGAGCCTCTCCACTGAGCTGCCTGGGAAGTTCCTCATCTAAACCCGTAAAACAGTGATTTGAGTGATTATTTTTTCAATTAAAAATTGTGTGTGTGTGTGTGTGTGTGTGTGTGTAGGACAACTTCCAGGAGTCTTTTCTCGCCTTCCAACTTGCTCTGGTGAGGTCTTACTTGTTTCTGCAACACTATTCTGAATACCACTTAAAGAGATAATAAATTAGCAGTTGGGCAGTTCAATATCAGAATATATATAAGAATATAATATAAGAATATAGGAATTCTTATAATGAAGTTGGACTAAATAACTGTTTCAGCTCCTTCACATTTAGTCTGTGATTCTCTACTTCCTGGGATAATACATGCCCGTGATCTTAGGAGTTGGAAGCAAACAAAAATCTAGAAGACAACAACAAACCATAAAAAGCCCAAGCCAATAGTGAGAGAGAACATGTAAAACTCAACTGTTTTAATTTGACAATGACTCAGTTAATTAAAATACAGAGTAACTTGAAACTGTACTCTTTTAAGTACGACTCCTGAAATAGTTTAATATATGTGTATAGTATTAGTTACCTTAGAACTTAATACTAAAAGAAGGCCCAAGTGTCAGGCCCGGCAGAACCCAGTGGGAGAATTGGTGATAGCACGGCAAGGTCTGGAGCTTATTCTCCAGCCTGCTCGACGGCTCTGTCTCAAGCTATTATTCTTTTCTTTGTTTGTTTTCAAGTAGAGTATTTCATGCATTTAGACCAACTCTAGGTGACAGATTTTAGATTTTACACTCCAAAAGTATAGGCAAAAAAAAAAAAAAATCCATTACTAAGGTTTTGTCAAAACAGGAGAGTAATAAATTTGCCTTCCCCCGCAGTTGCTAGGGACTAGAGCCATGGCTTTATCCATGCCCCGCAGCACCCCATCAGTAGCCGCAGACAGACAGGTGAGTCTGCTCCAACTCTCCACACAATATACCTCTTCCCCTCCTCAACTCTTCCTAGACCCTTCCCACCTCCATGCTTTTGTGCTCTCTCTCAATAAGCAAACCAAAAATCAATACAAGGAACCTAAAAAGACAAAACACCAAACCCCACCGAATGTGGAGTCTGTCTCCTGTGACTCCTGGGTGGGGTGCCCTGGAGCGCGGCTCCCCTCTCCCAGCCGCTGTCACTGCAATCACCTGAAGTTTGGCAGCTCCTCCTTTAATGAGACCACAGATGATTTCTTCTACTCTTGTAGGATTTTTGATGCGCACTGAGCTTTTCTGAAATTCGGGCATCTAAAAGTGAAGAGAAATGAGCACCTTTACCTCACTTTCCCCAATTCAGTCACTACCAAGAAACTTGTATTAAAAAGTATAAAAATGCTGAGGCATTGTTTTAAATAAGAAAGTCACCATATAAAATTACCATTTATATACACAGAAAATTTACAACCTAACTAGTTTCCATCTAGAAAATTAAGATAAAGTCATCTAGTGTGGAGGCACAAATCTGTAACCCCAGCAACTGGATGCTGAGGCAGGAGGATCTTATGTTTAAGGACAGTTGGGAAAACATAGCAAGAGCTTACTTTACACAAAGAAACCTAACAAAGTAAAATCCCTGCATTTATGATTCATTTACTCTATTAGAAAGTATAATTTTCACCCCTTGATCGAAGAATAAGTAAAGACAATGTGGTACATTTACACAATGGAGTACTTACATACAGCGGAAAAAAAATAATGACATTATGGGCAAATGGATGGATCTAGAAAACATCATATTGAGTGAGGTAACCCAAGACCCATAAAGACAAATATATGTACCCACTCATAAATGGCTTTTAGACATAAAGCAAAGAAACCCAGCCTATAATTCACAATCCCAGAGAGCCTAGACAACAATAGGACCCTAAGGGAGACATACATCGATCTAATCTACATGGGAAGTAGAAAAAGACAAGATCTCCAGAGCAAATTGGGAGCGTGGGGATCACGGAAGAGGGTGGAAGGAGAGGAGAAGGGAGGGGAGCGGAGAAAAATGTTGAGCTCAATAAAATCAATTAAAAAAGTATATTTTTCTTATATAATTATGCAGGTAATAAGCTTCTCAGAATTTATAGAACATAAAAAAATTGCTTGTTATTAATCAAAATAGGATCCAAGAGAATACCTGAACTTGTGATAGACTTATTTCTTCTGGAATTTTTTGCATAAGATTTAATTTGAGTATGGTGTTGCCCACCTTTAACCCCTCCACTTGGGAAGCAGAAGCAGGCAGATCTCTGAGTTCAAGGCTAGTCTGGTCTACATAGCTGTTTTAGCCCAGCCAGGGCCACATTGTGAGGCCCTGTCTTGGAAAACAAAATAAAAATAAACAAGATCCCACTAGGGCACCCCCTATGGTCTTACCAGGTGGAGGGAGGAAGATCACTTGAACCCAGAAGTTTGAGGCCTGCTTTGACAACATAAATTGGTCTCAGTTTTAAAAATTAATTAAAACTTAAGAAATAAAGTATGTAATTTAGTACACATAGGTTATATGCAAATATCCCACCATACTATGTAAGATAAGCATTGTGCTGGATAGTTTTATGTCAACTTGGCACAAGCTAAAGTCATCTGAGAGGAGGGAGCCTTAATTAGAAAATGTCTCTATAAGATCAGGCTGTAGGCAAGCCTGCAGGACATTTTCTTAATTAGTGATTGATGGGGAGGCCCCATTCCTTTGTGTGTGGTCCATTCCTGGGCTGGTGATGCTGGATTCTCTAAGCAAGCAAGCCGAACAAGACACCAAGAAACACTCCTATATGGCCTCTGCATCAGTCCCTGCCTCCAGGTTCCTGCCCTGTGTGAGTTCCTGCCCTCGCTGCTTTTGATGATGAACTGTTATATGGAACTGTGAACGAAATAAACCCTTTCCTCCCCAAGATGCTTTTGGTTCTGGTGTTTGATCACAGAAATAGTAACCTTAACTAAAACCAGTATTGAGGATTAAAATTTCATTTGTATTAATATTTATGCTTTAAAATATTTCTGGGCAGAAAAAAATCACATAATTATTCCTTATAAATTTTTGCAACAGATAATTAAAACATCTCTAAAATCTGCAAAGTTGTTTTAAGATCATTGAGTCTTCTCCTTATACTGTATCCCAGATAATGCACTAATTCTTCTCAGCATACGAACAGACTTCTTTCAAAGTAAAACAACTAGAAAGTACCTGGGATTTATGAAGAGTTTAGGGTTGCTCAACATTTTTATATTGGGTGCCATTTCTTGTTTGAACTCAATCACGAATTGAAGGAATCTGAGAGGAATCTTAACTTCAGGAGGACATGATGCTTGCATGTCTTGGAAAAGTGTCACAGAAAAAATGATCATTCACACTATGATGCATAGCAAGAGCAAAATGTTCCTTAGAAGAAACAACTATCATAAAGTTCAGGATTCTCTGAGGTTCTGTTTTCATTACTGGCAAACAAGTAGTATGTCACGCTCTTAATCTCCAGTGACCAGCCTTCTTCCCACCGTTATCACAAATACTAACAGGGTCCATAGACGCCGCTAGACTTTTAGGTTTTTATTTCTGGAGACTGAACAGATGAAGTCTGTCAGGTCTCATGTTGTCCCTACATATACATTAGAGTTCAAAGGCAACAATTCAGGCAGTGGTGGTGTACACCTTTAATCCCAGCACTCGAGAGGCAAAGGCAGGTGGATCTACGTGAGTTTGAGGCCAGCCTGGTCCACAAAGCAAGTTCCAGGACAGCCAGGATTACATAGAAAAACTCTGTCTCAACCTCCCCCCAAAAAACTCCCCTCCCCTCCAAAACAAAAAAGCAACAATAACCCCAGCACCCAACCAAAAGACCAGAACATTTCCAAAAGACTGGAAGATAACGACGGAGGTATATAGGAAAGGGAAATACATTCAAATACTGTTTGTGAAATACCTACATTTAATTGGGCTTCCTCACCTCTTCTTTTTTGTTTTTGTAGGGGAAGGAAAGAAGCTGGGAATCAAGTCCAGGGATTCTCAAATGCATGAGTTTGACTATATCTATAGCCCTTGCACACTTTGTTTTAAAAGTCATATCTTAAAACAATGATAATGTACCTGCAATGTACCACACCTTGGTACTTTTAAGGTAGACCAGACCTCATGAGTCTTATAAGGGGGGTGGGTGGGTGGCTCAGTCCATAAAGTACTTGTTGCACTTTATGAGCTGGGATCCTGGGCTTGTTCATTAGCAAGCCCAGCAGAATCAGTTAGCTTCAGATTCAGTGTGATTCCCTGTTTCATAAGAGTAAGCGGGGAGCAATAGAGGATGATACCCAATGTTGATCTCTGGCCTCCACATGTATGTACATGCAAAGACCACACCCACCAAGCCTCAATGGACATAATAAATACTGTGTGTCACTTTGTATAACACTCCTGCTAGAGACTAGATATGATGTGGACTGATACACTCCTGCTGAGTTAAGGACCTAATTTAAGGACCACTGCCATCTTGGAGGACCCTTTCTGCAGCTCCCTTACAAAAAGCTCAGCTGAGAAGAGCATATACTTGATTCAGTAACTAAACCTATTGGAGCTGGTGAAATGGCTCAGTGGTTAAGACTGTTTGCTGCTTTCACAGAGGATCTGTGTTCCCAGCAGCCATGTCAGATGGCTCATAACTTTGTAATTCCTCCTTCAGAGGATTTAAGCCTCTGTACCAGCACTTACATGCAAGCACTCCTCCTACATACACATAATTAATTTCTAAAAATCTTAAAATAACTTATTATAGCGAGAGTTAAACAAAGGATTATGTTGCCACATTTTCACCAGAAAATGAAGCATTTTATTTTATACTGAATATAATACCTTTCCTCAAGCAAGCCATACTCTCAAGGTTCAGCTAACAAGAATACCTGGGTCTAGTGCTTCATACGTTTAATCCCACAGCACTCAGGAGGCAGAGGCAGCTGGATCTCTGAGTTCAAGGCTAACATGGTCTACAGACCAAGTTCTAGGACAGTCAGGGCTACATGGAGAAACTTTCAAAAAATCAAACAAAAGAATATTAACTAAGACCACGTGGTGGCGCCCATCAACCACCCTGCTTCACCTACATTTTACACTTGGTATATTATAGAAAACTTTTCCTTTTTTTAAATCATCAATTATGATAATTGTTACCCTCTCAATTATTTTCAGTAACAAGCAAATTGAAAACTCAAACTGCTTCAGAACTTTCGCAGGCTATTATAAGATCATTTTATTCTTAATTATTATACATCAAAGAAGACCAATGGCTGGGGCATCATCCATGCCTGCGACTCTGAGAATACACAAGCATCCATTCCAAGTAGATACTCAGTGAGCACCCAAGGGCTCTGGAGGAGCAGACGGGTTACAAGGACATGATGACTGGTATTTTATTTACACTTTCCAACACTGAAGGGTGGATGATGCAAGTGTTAAGAAATACAGGACGGTGGCTATGGCTCATGGGTAGAGTCTTAACCTAACATCTATAAACCCCGTGTTCAATCCCAGCAAAAGAAGAAAGAAAAAAACACAGACAGACAGATACAGATAGATACACCACACTCTTTGGCTGAAACACACAGTTTAAGCTGATGTATATTGAATCAAACATTACCATGTTTACTAAAATTTATATTTCTATGGTTTTATGTACTAGTTAAATAGTGAACAAAAGAGTATTTATTTATTAATTTATTTTCTTTTTATTATTCTTTTGAAGACAAGGTTTTACTGTGTAGCCCTGACTGGCTTGGCATACCCTGCATGGCTTAAGCTGGCCTTGAATTTGTGGCAGCCCTGTTGAAAACTGGGATTACAGGTACATGCTACCAAGTCTGACTCCAAAAAATTTTATCATAGGGAATGTGGAAAGCTGATGGTACTTCCCCAAGGTACCGGAACAAGCTCCTTCCATGGTTTTAGTACCACCATATACAGAAGACAGCTGCTTCCTGGGCCTTTCCAGGAACCCCACACACCTTCTGTCATAGGCAAGGTTGGTGGGTTCACACTATTATTTATATAACACTCTCACTAGCCCAGCTGGCTTCAAACTAGTTATGTAGCCAAGAATGACACTGAATTCCTGATTTACCTGTTTCTACCTCCCCAGCAATGGGCTTACAAGTGTGGATCACCTCATTTGGGTTTTATGTGGTGTTGGGGATTGAACTGAGAGCTTCCTGCATGCTATGCAAGTCCTTTAACAACTGACCGACATCCCCAGTCATTTTGCACCCTTTCCTTTTCTTAATTTTTTTTTAACGTCTGCTTGCCTGCCCTGCCTGACTCCTCATCTGTCCGTCTGTCCATCCATCCATGTGTGTGTCTGCTTGTGTGTGTGCAGATTAAAGGACAACTTTTAAGAGTCAGTTCTTTCCTTACACCACATGGATCCTGGAGACTAAACTCAAGTGTCATGCTTGATGGCAAAACCCCTCACCCACTGAGATCACTTTAAACTACACTTAAAATATTTCATTCTGAATGAATAGCTTACATACGAAAGTGCCAAAGAATACAGAAAAGAATGGGAATCAGGCTGTGGTAGGGTATGCCTGTAATTTATGCCAGGGGCTCAAGGTCATTGTTGGCTACAAAGTGACTTTAACCAGCCTGAGTCACAGAGACCCAGCTTTAAAGATCAAAATCCAAACTATACATGCAAACAGACAGAAAGGGAGTAAGATGTATATAATGTAGGCATGGTGGCACATGCCTGTAATCACAACATTACCTCTCTCAGGGCTGAGACAGGAGGATCTCATATTCCTGACATACATACACAGTGAGACTCATGTTCAAAAAAGGAATAAAAACAAACAAACAAAAAAACCCAGCAACAACAAATTCACCAAAACCTAGCCATCCTTTTATGTTAAGAAGAACTATAAAATGTATTATATTTCATGCAAAATCATTTCAAAGATATTTGCGAGTCAGTTCAGTAGGTACTTGAGATTTTACCATTTGTATGTCCAGCATCATGAAGAAAGTCCTATATAAAATTCCAGTCCCACAATTGTATAGTTAAAGAGGAAAAAATGGAGAAGATACACCGTTTACAGGTGGAGCCGGAAGTACTTGCATACCCACCATTTTCAAAAGGTCAGCAGACTCCTGATTAGTCATTTCTTGGTTATTCAATCTTCTGCATTTCCCCAGGTGATATCACAGCAAGAGAGGGGGAAAAAAGGTACACGTGACACACTTGCATTTGAGGCTCTTACTATATGCTAATGACTATGAAGACAGTACGTTAGTATGATTTAAATACCAAAAAATTGCAGGCTGCTCGCTCAGCAAAGGATTTCCTCTATTTAGTAAAATTTGAGAATGAAAGTATTATATCAAGAGTTGGAAACTCTCTTCTAAGAACTAAAACAGTACTGATAAGTTTGAATACAGAGGTAAAATGGACTACATATTTGCAATAATAGACTTTACTGCAAGATTTGTGCCATCTATCTATCTACATACATATATACATACACACACAGGTCTCATTCTGTAATCTAGGCTTGCTGACTCCTGGGTAACCACCTGCTTCAATTTCCTTCTGTTGTGGAATTAATGGTGTGAACCACTATGCTTGCTTTGCAAGTATATATTATCAACACTTTTTTCTACACAAAGGGTGAAGCCTGTGAGAAGTGTGTTGCTAGTGCCAGATCTACAAATAAATTAAAATAAAAGAAGAAACATAATATACAAAAGTATTTTCCCTTTAAGTTTTTCAAAAACTGTTCATTTATCTATTCTCCGTACTGTGTCTAGTTAGTGTGCCCGCATGTGTATGTGCATGACGTCATCCATTGGAGTGTGGGAACCCACCAGTGGTTAAATGTCTAGAGAAAAGTGACCTCTTCCAGCAGCCGCCAATTGTAAACAGCTCCTCAGTTAGAGGAGTTTGAGAGAGCCCTTCCCCCTCCATGCTAAATTTTCTTAAGTTAAAAACTTTCTGTGTGTAAAAGTCTGTGTTGTGTTTGCATTTAGCAAAGTGTTTGGGACAAAGCCGGTACACAATGTGCTTGTCAAATAAAATGAGCATTTTATTTTATTTTATTTTTTAGTAGGCTGCTGGGTAAAGTTTATATTCATTAAACCAAAGGAAAATATACCTTTTCATTATTCTGGTTTTGTCCTATAGTATAAATCTTAGAGACAATTACTAATTTTTCCCATAATGACTTTACTTTTACTTTACTCCAGGTAAGTAAAAATATAATGATCAAAGCCCTGCTTTAAATAGCCAGGTAAGGGCTGATGACGTAGCTCAGTAGTAGAGGGCTTGCCTAGAACATAGTCCTGGACTACTTCAGCATGGCAGAAAAACAGAGATAAATTAGTGTGAGCTGAAGCCACACTACTCTTGCAGAGGATTAAGTCTGTTTCCAGCACCCACATCAGGCCCTTCACAATGGACAGTGCTGGTTGCCTCCAAACTAGTGGCAATCCTCCTGCCTTATTGCTGCAGTTACTGGGGTTATAGGCAGACATCACGCTCGGCAGCTGCCGGCTTTTACTAATTCACATATACTCTGCTAATGTCAACCCAGCTTTCCTTCTTCCGAGTGCTCACCAGGGTGACCGAATTTAACCTCAGCTCATTGAAGTAAACCCGTGTGAATGTACAGTGCCGTGCCCAAACCTCACTTTGAGACCTGTGTTGTGGTGAAAGTGTAAACACACACAGAAAGACAAAGTTGCCGGCATTCTGGAACTCTCTGAAAGAAGATACCGACCATCAGGGCTGAGTATTTTTAACCAGCGGTCTTGTAAGCCTACACCTGGTGCAGATAAAGGTCCAGCTTGTTCTGCCAACTGTGGCAGATGCTTCAGGAGGAGAGCTGCTGGAAGAACAGTGAGCACAGAAGACACATTCAAAAATAGAACGTGCTCCCCTTGAACTATGAACTCTCTTCGAAGTACATCTGGAATCCTGAACTCTGAGCTAGAAAAAATAGCAAACTAGGTAACAATTCCTCTGGGTACTCTCAGTAGGAGCTCCAGGTTTCTAAGCGTGGTAATGCAAGGTTGTGTAGAACAAGGCTGAAGAACGAAGCAAGAGGTAAGGACTTAAGTTTGTTATGTAAGAATTTGTTACTGCCTGTCATTCTGAGGTTACAGTTTTTTGTTTTTGTTTTCTTTTTTTAAATCACTAATATGGATAACCTGTCTACGTAAGCAATTTACTTGCTTTAGAACAGACTAAAGATTCTGAGTGTAAACTGAATATCTTTAAAGGCTTGTTTCACTGTGGCTCACTGGAAAGCAGAAAAAAAAATAAACCAATTAACATAGCTTTTAAGTGGCAACTCTGCTTTAGTTTTGATGCGTGCAGAAACAAGAAAATTACACTGATAAGGTAATGAAATTTTACAGTGTACTGTGTTTTGTCTCTTACATGAGAAAAGGAACACCTCACTATAACACGGAAAGGGCTCTGGCAACAGTATTAACTATGCCTGGCAAATTCACTGTTCTTTATTGCACCTCTCTCAACTAACCAACACTATTTGTCTTAAGTTCGGTGTATTAAGACGTCAAATTTTATAGGTTGATTATCCTATGGAAATATAAACTATAAATTCATTTTAATGGACGATTGAAATAATTTCCTTGTTTCATTTAAATAATTTTCCCTAGAAAGAAATAAACATCCACAGACTGGAAAGTGAAACACTCTCGATACAGACAGTAAACAAAACTGAAACTGAGCAGCTGAAGCTGTAGGAGGAAGCAGAAAAAAAAATCAGACTGTCTATTTCAGCAATTTATGCCAATTTCCTTAGACAGGCAAACAACAGTCAGGATTTTACGGATAATTGTGAAGTGTGTAAGCTCAGAACTAGTTCTCCAGCCTTCCGCTCATGTCGGTTCTCACACCCAACGGTGTTTCAAGAGAATAAACCAAGGCACGGAGAAATTATGCTGCTGATCCTGAACAGACTCTGACTTCTTCCTGCCGTATACTTTCTCCGGGAACAGCAGCACAGGTCATGACAGCATCCTGTAAAACTGAGCAAGCTGCTCGTCCACCAGTCTGGTGCGCGGTCGAATTTTAAGAAGAAGCTACATGAAACTTGAAAAACTCAATTATTTAAATCTGATGCAGGGCCAGGCATGGTGGCACCTCCCTGCAGGAAGCAGTAGGTCTCCAAAGAAATCAGACATAGCCACAAGCATTCTAGATTTCACTGTAATACATACATATGCTCCGTGTTTTAAGGATGTGTTTTCGGAGGTTCTGGACATGTTAGGCAAAAGGTCTATCACTGAGCTACACCCCCAGTCCTTAGATGTCTGAATTTTAATTTTCAGTATGCAAGTCGTTACTTTATAAATGTAGCTTTTATCAATTCATAAAATATACCAGTATCACTCTAGCCTACAATAGCCTGAGTAAGGTTCACATGCATAAAAATTAATTTTATCACTAGCCATTATAAAGTCATGTGGCTCTGTGCACAATTAAGTCAAATAGCAACTGAACATGTTCTCCAGTTCTGAGAGCACTTCGCCTTTGCCTAACATCCACATGTCCAAATAAGAATGCTTAGAATCAGAGTCTGTAAAGTTTAGGTACTGAGCCTAAGACATCAGAAAGTTTTACACACTTACACCTGTGCAAACTACAAAGAGTTTTCCATTTCACTACATTAAATTAGTCTACTTTTACTTCCTACTCTGTACACTTACATGGCCAACGTTTCATTAAAATAAAGAACCAAACTGGGGCCACGGCAAGTTAAACACAAGAAACTCAGGTCTTCAGGAAGAGCGAGCACTTACTTTGAAGGTAACCGGACACGTCACGGCAGCACCAGCAAAAGAAAATTCTTCCTGTCTGAGACGCACTAATATAGCACAAGGTGCAACGGAGGGCGGCTCCCAAAGCCTTGACTAAGCTTATGCAAACAGTCTTGTGACGCAAGTGAGAAGTACTTCACTATGCTATGGGAGGCAGCCCTGCCGGCTCGCAGCTCGATACCATTCAGTTTACAGAACCTAACTAGCTGGGAAAACATGATGGCTAAGAGCTGGTAGGTAGCTCAGCACTAGGAGCAACTGCTCTGCGACCTAAGCAGGAACTGTTAGTGAAACTTTAAAGCCGCCCCTTTCCTGTTTCTGATTGCACAACACTGGTACCGTGTGTGCGCCTCTAGGGGACGCTCCACTTCGAGACAAAGTCAAAAGATGAAATTGGTTGCTGGAGCCAGAGAAGGGGGATAGGAGGCTGTTGCTCAATTTGGCAGAGTTCAGTTTTTAAATGAAAACAGTTCTAAGGGTGGTGTGTAGTGGTGACAGAGAACAGCAATACACATGTATTTAGTGTCACCAAACTGTATGCTTAAACTTGACTTTAAATGGTATCTCTTGTATTATACATATTTTACTCCAGTGGGATTTAACATTTATTTCAGTGGCTTTGATATTTTCTTTATATTTTTCCATTAGTTTTTTGATAAATTTTAATAAAAAACCATGAAAACTAATTATAAAACTGGAAAATACAGGTACAGCAGCGTCCACTTGTGGTCTCAGCTACCTAGGACCCAAGGCAGGGAAATCACCGAGTCTATGTGGATCAGCCTGGGTAATATAGTATGAAGGGTTTTGTTGTTGTTATTAAAAAGGGAGCAAAAGAGATACAACGTTTTTATTTTAGAAACAACTAGTCTAGTTTTTAAATTGAGCAGCAGGAAGGCAATATGCTAATACTGTACCAGGGCCTGCTAGATAAGGTAAAATATGGGCTCTGGGGAGCTTTATCGTCAGGCGCATGGTTAAGCTGTACACATGTAAATATTTTTTTTCTATCAGCTCTCTCAACGGTGCTCAGGGAAATTTAATACAGGCTGTATTTTAGTAATTAAACTTTGTGAAATAGCAAGTTTTTTATTTATTTATTTTTTAAGAGAAAGGATCTTAATATGTTGTTCTCAGGCTGGGCTCAAGCTCCTGGGCCCAAGTGATCTTCATGCTTCCTAACCTCCTGAGCAGCAGGACTGCCCACTGTAAGTCCATTACCACAGCTGTACATTCACTGTACAGTACTTGTGGGCTCACCCAACGCTTGGCCTCAAACTCAGAGAGACACCACCACCACCACCACCACCACCAGTCCTGGCTGGGTTTGCATATTCACTCGTGTAGGGGTGCTGGTGGTGGTGGGGCTTGCGCAGGTCAGAGGTCATCTTCAGGTGTCTTCCTCCTTAATATTGAGACAGAGTCTCTCATTTAAGCCCAGAGCCTGATCATTCAGTTAGGTGAGCTAGCCCGCTTGATTTGAAGATCCCTGTTATCTAACAGCCTCCTTGGCAGAGGGATTACAGACACTAAACCTGCTTGGTACTTACATGGGTGCTGGGAATCATAATTGCAGTCTTATGTGACAAGTGCTTTACCCACTGAGACATTTCTCCAGCCCCAGGCACTGCTATAAGATTTAATAAGGTTCAGTAACAAAACATTTCTCTAAGAGGAAGACCTATTATATCTAATTAGTGATGGAACTTCAAGGACAGCAAACAAAAAACTGCTAACTACTCTAACCTAAAGATCACCTCCTTTAACAAAGGAGTTCGGGAGATACACTTCCATACTTTCTGAGAGAATATTTATAAATATTACTGAGAGCTGTAGATATAAACATTCCTTCCACATAACACTTAGGGTAGGATAGCTTATCCTAAAGAAATATGGTTGTAAATAAAGATATAGTTGCAAAGATATACACTGTAGATTTGTTTATAATACTAAGAAACTGCAAGCAGCCATAATGACAAAACCTAGTTGATTCTTTACACAGGAGAGAGATGGACATAGTAACACATGCCTGGAATCTAGTCCTTGGGAGGTAGAGGCAGGAGGATTAGGAATTCAAGATCGTCTTCGCCAGCCTAGGCTACATGAGATACTGTCTCAAAACCAAAACAAAATACAGAACAGTAACAAAACATATAACTCTAAAACACAAGACAGGTAGGGGGTAGGGCTGTGGCTAGGTGGCCGGGTCTGTTTAGCATGTACAGAGCCCTGGGCTCAAGCCCAGCACCACAAACACAATAAAAGAGCATCAGAGATGAACACACTCTGGCATACACATGAAACAGACGTGTGTTTATATATGACCATTGCTGGATATGGTGCTTCTTATAAATGATCATTGCTGGATGTGGTGCTTCAGGTCTATAATCCCAGTACTTGGGAGGAACGAGCAGGAGGGTCATTGTTCTAGGCCAATAGTAAGACCCCATCTTAGAAACAATAAAAGAAAATATTGTAAGTACCTAAAATTTCCTAGCTCCTGTGTGTGTGTGTGGCTCACTACACAGTGTGAGCACACAGAATACCTGAGGCCCCGTTTGATTCCAAGCAGTGAAAAAGTAAGTGATTAAATGACATGAATAAATAAATAATTTCATTACATTCTAAGTGTGTGGACATTCCTCACTGTCTGTCCCTACCACCCTGCACATCACATGCCACTGTCCTTCCGCTTCCTAAGTGAGCAGAGGCGAGCAGGGCTAAGCAACAGCAGGAGACTCAGTCTAGGAAGCAGAGGAAGTCTAAAACAGGGCACATGACAGGACCCACGGCAGCACTAACCGCCTACTTTTATAGCCTTTGTTTTAGAATAGAAATGATTCCTTGGGAAATAAATGGTATGTTTAAATGTGAGAGTCAGCAGCAAATAGTATTAATATTGTCCATAATCAGAAGAGGTGAAGAACATCCTGACAGATAACAAACCAAGACCTGTATTGGGAGCCAGGTCCTCATAGCACACCCAGGTCTGCAAAGCAGAGGTAGAAGAGTCACAAGCTCCAGTCACAAAGCCTTGTCTAAAGCATAGAAATAAGAATCCCCCCTCAAGGGACTTGGATTGTTAAAGTCCGAGTAATACTTGCTTAGGGTTTGCACTGGCAGTCCTGAAGCACGCCAACGCCCCTGACCAACGCCCTAACCCAGTCAGGTTAGCATGAGAGAACTCCACACAACTCCCTTCCTCACAGTAAAGCAATATGGAACCTGGAGAAACTAAGATATTTATTACCTTTATGTCAGTTATATACAAAAGCTTCAAGGTTTTTCCTTTTAAGTCATGTGGAGCTACTGTAGGTAACGATGTGCACACACTTGTGCCACTGGAGGCAAAGACTTACATGACAGTGATTGAGAAATAACACTGTTTCTGCTTGTAAGACGGCTCAGCAGACAATATGGGTGACACCTAAGTTCCATCCCCCAGATCCACACTAGAAGGAAAAACCACCAATTCAATAAAAAGCTGTCCTCTCAACTCCACACATGGCAGTGCTTGCGGACACTCAAGCGCATGCTCTCTCTCTCTCTCTCTCTCTCTCTCTCTCTCTCTCTCTCTCACACACACACACACACACACACACACACACACACACACACACACACTAAATACAGAGTCAGAACAGTATGCCATAGAAACTATTGAATTAATGACTCCTACTTCAAGACACTCCCAACGGGACTGATGCTCATATGACCTGACACCCTTCAGCAAAGGGAAATCCACTGGTCTCCAATGGCACGCCACTGGGGGTATCATGACACTCTAGGGCAGGGTGCAGGCCAGCACACAATAAATCTAATGGTATTTTTGTGAACTTTTTGTTTCATATTGGCCTTTTTTTTTGTCTTACTGGTCTTTTGTTTGTTTGATTTTTGTGGTTTTTTTCCCGGGTTGTCTTGTTTTTTGTTTAGAGATAGAAAGGGAAAGAGAGACAGAGAGAGACTATGAATGATGAACAAGAACAGAACTGAGTGGCAGGGAAGTAGAGAGGATTTGAGAAGCGTTGGTGGAGAGAAGTGATCAAAAATGTATTATTGTAAATTTTAATTAAAAACAAAAGAACAATTTTGGGGGCTGCGGACATAATTCATTGGCCTAGCATTCATGAAGCCCCAAGTTTGAGCCTCAGAACCACAAAACAAGCAACACAAACCCAATTTTTCCTCCCATAGTTTTCCCACCGTTTTCTGAGAAGGGCTAGAGAGAAGCCAGAAGTCACAGAGATTGCTCTTGTGCAGTGGAGTGGACTTTCATCTCAGCACTGGGACTGGCCTGGCCGAAACCAGCCATACCTAAGGGCAAGCACTAGACGAGGAATTCAGATGCCAAAGGGCAGAGGTTTCTACGCTGAACAGGACTTAACTATCTTCCAGGTTTTTTCCATTCTGAGACTGTAATTTATATTTATCTTATTATCAAGAATGGTAATCGTTATCAAAGGAGAAAGTTAAATCCATTTGTGTGTTTGAGTAATGACTCAGAGCTTTTTAGCATGTCAATTATTTAACTGAATCAAAATTATTTCATAGTTTGCCACTATGAAGTTTCTTAGGGCTTGGTCAGCCCTGAAAATACAAGAACCTGAGTTCAGTCTCTACAACTCCCATGTCAAAAGGCTGGGTGTGGTGACCCATACCTGTAATTTCGGGGACTTGGTGGCCAGCCAGCTTTGCCTACTTGGTAAACTGGTTGGTGGGTTAAAGTCTGCATGATGAGGAGAGTCTATGGTTCCATATCAAGAGATACTAAAACCGTCCCCCCAAACCTCAACTGAGAAGCTTGAGTTTTCAAACTTGCTTTGAGAAACTCAAACATGGTCTTTAACTGGCTACACCTTTCTCTTAGTTAAAAGACGTTCTATGCTTCCTGCTAAGTGTACCATGTCCTGGTATCTCAAGAGCTGCATCTTTCAAACTATTGTCTCCATCGTATTGCAGCTGAATATCTGTGCCGGAAACGGAACAAGGTGAAAATGTTTCTGTCTTGGACTTTCCACCACACAGTTTGTACTCTGCGGAAACACTACTGCTACAGATTGCTACTTTGTATAGGGCATATTAGCAACAACGGGAAGGTAAGCTTTTCCTATTGGTGCATTGTCGTGAGACATTTGTACACTGTGAAGAGGCACTGCTGTGATTGGTACAATAAAAAGCTGCATGGCCAATAGCTAGGCAGGAGAGACAGGCAGACCATCCGGGCAGAGAGAGGAAGATAATACAGGCACACAGGACAATGGGGATGAAGAGCGAGCTGGAAACAGAATGGGAGAGAGGTAAAAGCCATATGGTAGAATGTAGAGTAATAAAAATACGGACTAATTAAAGTTATCAGAGCAAGTGATACAAGCCTAAGCTAAGGCCGAGCTTACATAATTAAGAATAAGCCTCCGAGTTGTTATTTGTGGGCTGGTGGTCCTCACGAGAAACATACTGCGGTGCATCCTATCTGATACACCTACATGGAGAACACACAGAAAGATAACCCGCCACACAGCTCACAGTGTCAACAGCACATAACAAGCACAGCTAACTGGTTAGGGCACTGCTCCGTGGAAAAGCACATGCTTTAGCTATTACGTAGGCGGCCTTGGGAAGACTCCTCACACAAAGACAATTCAAGCCTGCAATGGGAGGCCGAGACAGAAGGATCATTGAATTTACAGGCTAGCTTGGGCAACATAGTGAGACTCACAAGAAAAATAAATCAAAAATTAAAAAAAGCACAAGAAGATAAAAAAAATGATTAATTGCACTTTCAGAGTCTAAAGCCTTAAACACACTAATTATAAGCTAAATTGAATGCTGTAATAGCCGATACAAGCAAATCAAGTATCAGCAAGTGATCAGAGATGAAGGACAGGATCACAGGTGATTTTCTTTCATTATTTTCTGTAGTGATGATGTCGCTAACTACCTGGAAACATCAATTACCTAAGTTTCAGGCAGCCAGACTCAGCTTTAGCTAAAGACAGTTGTGCTACTAATTAGAGCTAGATGTTTTACGAGTTAGGCGGATAATGCAGCATGTACTTGGTCCCGAGTGCATGCTATCAATTCAAAGCGATTTAGCTTCTCCTTCTAGAGTTCTCTAGTTCCAGTGCATTGTAGGCTCCCTTGTCTTTCCAGCTTCTTTTCACTCTCTCTTTTTTTTCTTTTTAAATACAGGGTTTCACTATGTAGCCACAGGCCTTGAATTTACCCTCCTCCTTCCTTAACCTCCCAAGTGCTGGGGTTGTGGCATGCCCTATACCATTCATGACACTAGTCTTTTTTTTTTTTCCTCCCTAACGCTAACTAATGTCAGGAAGTTTCAGTTTTACATTTCAGCATGCTACAAGGCTTAGAAGTTCTCAGCTGGCTCCTACCTGCTTCTCCAAGAATCCATCTAGTGACTCATCTGTTCTTTTAGCACTCTAACAGTTTGACAAGACAGACCTTGGCAGATGTACTAACAGATCGCTGCTCCCGGGGAAGCTGCATATAAGAATATGGTGATTTGAAGGCTGGAACACTGGCCCAGTGCTGCAGAGTACCGGCTGCTGTAGCAGAGGTCCTGGGTTCTGTTCCCCGCCTCACACAGCAGCTTATAAGCATCTAGAACTCCAGTTTCAAGGGATCTGATACTCTTCTTACCTCCCTAGGCACCAGGCACACAGTGTTTTGGCAAAACACTCATATGCATAAATAATACTCATACACATTTTTAAAAATATGATTCTATTATTATTTTGGCATTTATTGTGTTCTCAAATGCACTGGTTCATGAGATCCTGGGTCTTTGACTCTCAAGCAGCCTGAACTACAGGTGGGCATATTACCACAGCTGGCTTTGACTGTGGGGTTCTTTTTCATGCTGTCTCCAACAGAAATCCCCAAGCAGAAGGGCATGGAGGGCAACATAAATGAGGTGCTGTGGTGTGTGACATGGCAGAGGAGACAGACAGGAGTACAGGGAACTTTTCAGGCCACACTATCTCCTTCCTTCTTGAAGAAGGAACTTACCAAACAGATTAAGCAACTCCTCATTAACTGCAAGACAATTTGTACCTTCTTATTCTAGTAGATTAAAACAGGGAGACAAGGCAGGCAGCATGTACACAAAATGACAGAGAGACAATGAAGTCTGTCATAACTGTTGTCACACAGCTTAGTGGTCAAAGTAACTCTGAGGGCTGAAATAAGAGGACATGACCTGCCAGCCATGGCGGCTCACACCTTTAGCCCCAGCACCCAGGAGGCAGAAGCAGGCAGATGTCTGTGAGTACAAGGCCAGGTTACATAGTGAAATCCGTGAAATCCCGACTTAAAAAAGGAGTACATGACCTAAAGACAATGAATATATACTAAGAGAAAGACTAAAGTACAAACACAGGGTCAGAGAGGAGCTCAGCACGCAGCTCTTGCCTCATTAGCAAGTGTCTGGTTCAATCTCTAGCAGCACACATGGAGTGCAGCTACACTGGACAGCAGCATCTACCGCAGGACAAGACTGCCACCTGCTGACAGAAACCTGCACCGTGCAGATGTTTCTGACTTCTGGGAGTGTGTGTGTGTGTGTGTGTGTGTGTGTGTGTGTGTGTTTGTGTGTTGCTTGTTGTTTTTGGAAAGCTGTTTGCTTAATTAAACAATTATCTTATTTATTTTAGGGATAGAGTCTCACTATGTACCCCTGGCTGGCCTGGAACTCACAGGCTCCATTTGTTTCTACTTCCTGAGTGTCACCTGCCCAGTCAAGAATGATACTTTAAGGGAGCAGAACAATCTCTTGGGTAAGGTGTTCATACTACATTTAAGTCAGAGGTGAAAATGCCAATGTTGTGGCACACGCCTATCGGCTCGAGGCACAATACACAGTTAGAATACAAGAAACGAGAAAGGGCCACCTCATTCTCCTGGTTCTGGTTTAAATATCCTGCTGGCTGACACCCATGATCTTCAACATAATGAACTACGCGCCTTGCTGAAGGAGTGGAGTGGCCTCTCTGAGAAGCACCACAAACTGTTAAATGACTAATGAACCATAGTTAACTCCCTGTCACCCATGCACAGGGAAGGATCTCTTTCATTCCTGATGGTTTTGGTTTTACTGCTTTGGTTCTGCTGCTGCTTCCTCCTCCTCCTTCCTTCTTCTTCCTTTTTTTACACTGGGATGGGATCTCATGCAGTAGCTGATACTAGCCTGGGATAGCCCAGAGTAACCTAGAATTTATAGAAATCATCCTGCTCCAGTCTCCCAAGCACTAGGACTATAAGCATGAGTCACCAACCTAGCCTTGATAAATGTCGATTATCTATCTGACAGCTCGCACAATGTACCCAGTAAGTCTCCTCTTTAAAGGCAGAATTCTTTGAATAAAAAAAAAAAGAAAACTAGAACAGTATACACACACACACCCAATCTAAATTTAGCTGCTGACTAACTAGCTCTGATGGCCCCAAATCAGTCCCAGTACTTGAAAGTTTACCAGGAGGATTGTAAGTTTGAGGCCAGCCCTGCCTACACAGTGATTTCTAGAACAGTTGGGGGGTACATAGAAAGAACCTGTGTTTTTAAAAAAAGGTTTCCCCACCCCCAGATCACAGCTACTTCTGAGGCTGCCGGGGCATGAGCAGGAGCCCTTTAGGCTCCGAGGGGTTCTTCAAAGTTGCACAGCTGGCAACGAGACCAGTTTTCAGGAGGCTAAGGCAAGAGCATCATGCATTTGAGGTCATATGTGGCTATATAGCAAGACCTTGTCTCAAAATAAAATAACCAATCACAAATAAGGATGAAAATCAGATAATTAAGGGGACAAATGCCCAATGGTAGGGTACTTACATGCTGAGCATGTGTCAGGCCCTGAGTTCCATTCCCAGCAGAACCACAATTTAAAGTACATGTTCTTTATGTACCCTAAATATCTCTAGAAGACTGCAATGCTTACATTACTCTTAAAGCACGACAAGGCAAATGAAAGGATTCTGCACAGAATCATTATGGAACATCTCAACTATAGTTCTACAAGTTGAAGCTTCTCTCTCTCTCTCTCTCTCTCTCTCTCTCTCTCTCTCTCTCTTTCTGTGATGGAACTGAACCTCTGATCCTACTGCCTCAAATTCTTGAGTGCTAATGGGATGAAAGGCGTGTGCCATAACCCATGGTTTATGGGGTGATGGGGATTGACTACAAATCTCCCTGCATACCAGGCAAAAGCTCTCTAACTGAGCTACAGTGCCAGACCCCACCAAGCTTGTTTTAATGTCTGCTCCCTAGTTTTAGATTTTAGTAAAGCCAATTTAGTGTGTGCTCAGAGAAAAGCATCAGTTTAACCATGCAAAGGTCATTCTGGATTTTATTCTTTATCTATTTTGTAAAACCACTCAAAGAACCTTCAGCAAATTAGCCACTGACACTAATCAACAGCATCAGAGAAATGCAAAATAAAACTACCCTGAGATGCCCCCTTACCCCAGTCAGAATGGCAGTCATTAGGAAATAACAAATGCGAGCAAGGCTGTGTCCACTCTGCTGGAAATGCAACCTGGCTCAGCACTGTGGAGAAGAGTATGAAGAGTTAAACAAACAAAAACTACAACCCCATTACAGCCTAGTCCCTATGGGACACTGTAAATACTTCCAGTGAAGAATACGGGTGATTAAAAAAAGAATCCAACTAATGCCTGGACCCCAGATGTATAAGTCTTAATACAAGAATATAAGAAGCATGAAATACATTAAGGGAGTATAACTCTTAAAAATTACTACTCACATATTAACATCCTCTAACAAGAATAAATGAGATGAAACCCCAGAGAAGGAACTCAAAATGTTTATCACCCTATCCCACTAAAGAGACTAGGAGTAGAACAAACATCTCAGCATAATAGAGACTAAATACAACACACCTATAGCCATCCTCAGACAAAAGGAAGGAAGATTCAAAGCATTTCCACTAAAGTTAGGAATAAGGCAAGGGCGTCCATTTTCTCCATCACTAAATATAGCACTTTAAGTCTAAGCTTGGACAAAAGAAGGAAATAAATGGGACACAAATAAGAAAGGAAGTCAAAGTTTGAACATGCTATGATTCTATGGAAAAAGACCACAACGGCTGTGCCCCACAAGAAGACTCTTAGCACTGATAAACACTTTTAGTAAGATACGGGTATACAAAATTAACACACAAACATCTGTAGGTTTTCTACATATCAATAACAAACATGCTAAGAGAGAAACCAGGAAAGCAATCCCATTCACACTTGTATCATAAAGTAAAATACTGGTGGCTGAAGAGATGGTTCAGCAGTTAAGAGCACTGGTTGCTCTTCCAGAGGACCTGGGTACAACTGCCTGGAACTCCAGCTCCAGAGGATCTGACACCTTTTTCTGGCCTCTGAAAGTATCTGCACTTATGTGTGTTACACACACACACACACACACACACACACAATTAAAAATGAAATATTTTTAAAGTATCTTATAATAAATCTAAAGAATGAACTTAAAAGTCCTGTACAATTTTAGAACACACTGTTTAGGCAGAGAGCTGGCTAGACCTGAGAGTGCACAGCTGTCTAGAAGCCAAGAGAGATGAAGGCAGGAGGATAGGAGGATCAGTTGAGCCCAATTTAGATTAGTCATAAGATTTCTTTCAAAAAATGCCAGGTGGTGGTGGTGCACATCTTTAATCCCAGCACTTGGGAGGCAGAGGCAGGCGGATCTCTGTGAGTTCGAGGTCAGCCTGGTCTACAAGAGCTAGTTCCAGGATAGGCTCCGAAGCTACAGAAAAACCCTGTCTCGAAAAACCAAAGAAATTCCTTTCAACAAAACAACAACCAAACAAAAACCTCAGATTGCTGGTCCTTATCTGCAGATTTTTGGTTCAGACTGTGTATATGAGATAGGGCTACATAATTTACTTTCCTTATATCACTAGCAAGTGGAAGAACTGCGTCTAAAAATAATGCTCCATAGTCTCTGGTTAAGCCAGCCCTCATGCTACAGCCATGATTTATGTAAACAGCTTTTGGGAGCCTTGGCTCACACTGCTCTGTTAAGGAAAATATGCTTACCTCTCAATCCCCAATCAACGGTTATGCTGCTAATACAAATATGGAAAGTAGACGGATGAAAAGAGTGTTTGAACAAACCAAAAATGTGAGGCACTTGCTCAAAACTGGTCCATCTGTCACAGAGATGAATACACAATAAAAGAAACAAGAGAAAACAGTAACTGTGTCAGGAAGCAACTTGAAGCTCACTAGCTAGGCTATCAGACTCGTCCTTAGGGTTGAAAACTGGTTAACTGTGACATGAGGATAAGCGGAGGAAACATGACACGTGGGACGCAGAAGACAAAGTTATGAGGCCTGCCATAAACATTTCTGAAAGAGTTGCTAATTTGGGGATTCAAGATTATCTCAGGGGCTGGGGAGACGGATCGGTGGTAGAGTACTTGCCTATGCTCAGACAATTCCACAAAAAAAAGAGTTGGCTACAAAGATAAAGCCAATGTCAAGAGGTTAGCACACTTACATCTCTTATCTTAAAATACGTTTTCTTCAGATTTGATGAACTGACTTTTACTCCTCCAATACTGCCATCAATGTTATCTCCTACTTCCTTGAAGACATGATTTCTCACAAATTAGATTTGGTTATTCTTTTTAAAGTCTGTGACCTTTGGGTTTAATTTTATCAGTACTTCCCTCTTCTCAAACTTGAACAATGTACCTCATAAAATCACCTTCATTTTCAAAAGGAAACAAGGTCATAGTTCTTAAGTTCTTACTTCATTTTCAAACCTTGTTTCATCTTCAAACTTGGTTCTAGGTTGTATTCTCTGAAAAGCAAAATTATGAGACACACACACAATGCTACCGTTAAAACATAAACCTCTCTCAGTTTCTTTCTCTTTCCCCTCTTCCCTCTGTTCCTACTGAAGTCTAAAGCCTACCTTTTTCTTAAGGAACCCAACTCCTAGTTTCTGCTGATCCATGCTGAAGTTGTTTTCCATGGTGTAGGACCTGCCTTCACATGAATACCACTTGAGTCACTCCACCTGATCTGAAATGAATCATACTAAACACACACACAATGTAAAATCCTGGTACCCAGGAAGTAGGCTGTCTCAGTCACCTTTCCCACTGTTGTGACAAAACAACATGACCAGGCAACTTACAAAAGGAAAGCACTTAACTTAGAGCCCATGGTTCGAAAGGGTTAGAGTCCATGGCCATCACCAAGGAATACAAGAGAATAGCAGGCAGGCAGGCGTGGCTGGAGCAATAATTGCGAGCTTACATCTATCTGATCTACAAGCACAAAAAAGAGCTAACAGGAAATGATGTCGGTTTTTGAAACTTCAAAGCCCATCCCAAGTGACACATTTTCTCCAACATGGCCATTGCTAATTCTTCCCAAATAGTTTCACCAACTGGGATCAAACATCCAAATGTATGAGCCTATGGGAGTCATGCTCATTCAAACCACCAAGTTGGCATGGACTTCTTTGTGGGGTGACCCTTCTTCCACTCAGTCCTCCTACTCCTGACTGGGTCTTTACCCTACTGTATGGCAAACCACCTACCTGGTGGTCCCTCAGGCTTCCCTGGGGTCCTGGTAGTCCCTTGTGACTCTTGTTCTACAGATGAGTTCTGGTAGCCCATCTGGGCTCTTGTCTTACTAATGGGGTTCTTGCCCTTCCTTTCTTAGTTCTTGCTTCATATGTAGCTTGGAAAACTAGGGACCTGAAAGCAAAGGAAATCACGGTGACAACTTTTGGTATATCCAGTTACAAACGTCCTCCTTAATTTTCATCTTGTGCCAATCTCCCTGGAAGACACAGTCTATTTAAAACGCTAATCTCTAAACCTCTGTTATTACTAGGACAATACTTGATCCTTCTCACTATTCCTACTTCTGCTGAACTATCAGATCTCAGTTTATTTTCCAGGATAAAACCCAATCGAGGCCTGTAAGGACACCGCGAGGGATGAGAGGTCAGGCATGTCTCTATAAATAACAGATTTGCTGGGCAGTCATATACGAATAAACTAACAGGTAGATAACTGTCAGAAAATGCCAACTTTATACAACTTTCATTTGCATCACAGAAAAATGGAACTTCCTAAATGTGGAGGAATGAGGAGGGGAGGATTTTGTTCTAAGGGTGGTCAATACTGGGCCTGGGGGTGCAGCTAAGAAATAGAATGCTTTCCTCAAATATTGAATCCCCAGTGCTGAGAACAGCAGCAATAACACACACAGACACACAGACACACACAGACACACACACCTGTAAAAACAACAATTAAAACTTAAGAGCTACGAGCAAGTGAGGTATCAAAGGAAGTGTGTCTTGCACACAGAAGACATGGGGAAGAAGAGTCAGTGTCCAGGTTGGGGTACACAGTTCCGAACAGAGTATGTACCTAGACATGTGTATGATCTTGGACTCAATCCTCTGTATCAAACAAAATAGCACCTAAACCCCCAAACCAAAACCAAACAAACCAACAAAATTCTTCTTTGCAGGGTTTTCATTTTCATTACAGAAAAACAAGGCTAGCTTCCTAAATAAATGTGGGAGAAAGATGAGGTGAGGGTTTTGTTCTCAGGGCAGTCAACACTGGGGCTGGGGGTGAAGCTCAGAAGTAGAAGCTTTCCTAGCATAGTAAATCACTGGTGATGAGAACAGCAACACATACACACACCCCATTTCAAAATGCAAAAAAGCATAAAACAAACAAAAAACTAATCGGGGGAAAATAGACTAATGTCTTTATCATTCAATTAAAAAAAAAAGATATACCGAGAGAAAGTTAAAAGGGCATATATACACAGAGAGTAAGCGGGCTTCCTAGGAGGCTACTTCCTTTCTGTGGGAAAAACTGTGAGGGAAGGCTGCTCAAGGACAAACATTTGGGCAAGAAGACAGGAACTGGGAGCACCCAGGGGCCTCTCCCACCTCCCCGCCAGCAGACTCGCAGCCTGAAGGAAACTGTAGCCTGCCTCAATGAAGTTTTTTTTCTTGGCTCTCTTGGCAGCATTTCAGTCCTTTCCTGCATTTTAGTTGGTTGTCTTTCCCAACAGATAAAACAAGAGGCACTGACTGGCAGGTTCCATCAAGGACCATGAAAATGACAAGTCTGACCTAGAACTGTCCATGGAGGACGACTGCAAAGGAGGCTGGAAACCAGCTCAGGCACATCGTGAGCCAAGCACGTATTCAGTGGTGCAGGTGAAGCTGAAGGTCTGGAAAAGGCATGGCTAGTCACACTCTCCCAGAAGGACGGGTGCATATGCCTCTATTGTGCCGTCTCTGCCAACAGGGCAGCCTCTTTGTACCTTCCTCTAGATAGTCACCTGGCTTTTGCTTCAGACACAGAACATTAGTCTGACTGGATTTCCATCCTAAAGCCACAAGGGACCCCCCCCCCCAGCCTGTAACAGTACCCTTCTTTCCCTGACGTGGAAAACAATCCCAAGCTTAGAGAGAGAACTTTCTGAGTTACAGTCTGCTCAGGTGTAGAGAGGACAGGCAACCTATGCAGGGCCACACCACTTACAAAGTCCTGAGATGCTGGACCCAATGTTCCCATGCTCATGGGCTCCACATGGTTATCCAGAGGTAATGCCCAAGCAAGGGAAGATACTGTATAACAACTTACAAAAACAATTTGCTCCTAATCTACCTATCTTTTGTCTTTCCTTCTGTCTATCTGTCTTAAAAACTATAAAGACAAATACAGTTTAATAACTCTGAGCAAATATTAAAACTAAAGCAGGAGACCAAGCAAATGTGTATGTGGTAGCAGGATGCTTTTGGCCAACCATACTCAGTCTTCTCTCTGATGGAGCAGTCTCTCTGTTGGCTGTTTCTGGGCAGCATTTGACCAAGGAATGGCCATCCAGAGCTACAGACACAGGCCCCTGCTCTGGGAAGATGTTTGAATTGAAAAGAAAGACTTACAGTTGGGGACTGATGACATCGCAGGTGTCTTAAAGTGGCTGTCGGGAAGCCTGGCTGCCTGAGTTCCATCCCTGGGTCCCAGGTAAAGCCAGGAGAGAACTGATTCCACAGATGTGACCTCTGACCTCCACACATGAGCTCTGACATGTGTGCATGGACATACATATACATACAACAATAAAAAAATAAATAAAAGATTTACTCCCATTAGGCAGTCTGTTAGATGATGCTTTAGCCAACGTCTCGAGCAGAAAGGTGTTGAATCTAAAGTACACATATTGCTAATTTCTGCAGTTCCATGGCTCCATGACAACATGACTCCAAGACCAGCACTCAATCTGCTTGTCTCGAGTCTTCCAGGTTCCTTGATCTTATCAGAGTGTTTGGGGCATGGTAATTATGAGTATTATAAATTCAAAAATGGCCTCTGTCTCATACTTGGAAGGCTGAGGCAGGGCTATTCTGTGTTCCATGCATGTCTGAGCCACACACCTCAAGGGCTGACCAGGCTTGGTGAGTAAAGGCATCTGCAGCACACACCAGGTGACCCAAAGCTGGTCTCCAGAGTCCATGCAGAGGTGAAGGACAGAACAGACCCTCAAGTCGCTTTCTGACTGCCATACGCATGCGTGTACTCCTCAATAATAACTTTAAAAGCTAAAAAGCAAAACCCCAATGTCTATGGGCTCTGAAATCCAAGCACCATAAGTGTATTTCAGATACAGGCTCTACTGATGAGAAGCATTAAACCTTGTTTTGGAGATTTTTGTTGCCGCTGCTTGGTTTGTTTCCTCTTTTGGCATTTTTTTTTTTTTTTTGGTTAACATTTCACTTATTTGTGATTCAAAATTAAATTTCTTTTAAAAAGTGGATCTGTGCAGCATGTGTAAGTCTGTTGCCTGAAGAGGACAGAAGGCCCTGGATGCTCCGGAACAGAAGGGAGAGATGGTGCTGAGACATCCTGCGGCTTCTGGGAACGAAACCTAGGTCCTCTATAAAATCAACAGGTGTTCACTGAGCCATCTCTCCAGACCCACAGTCACCATTTCTTATCTTCAAAATCTCCTGTCACATGCTTAGTGGTACACACCTGTAGTCCCAGCTAATCCAGAGACCAGTAAATTCAAGACCAGTCTGGGCGATCTATGGCGACTCAGTGTCGAAATGAAAATGGAAATGAGATTGTAAAGGGTTTGCTTAGTATGCAATAGGTTCAATCCCAGTATGGAAAAAATTAAGAATCTATTGTAAATGTTCATTTGCAATGCTAACATGTATTAATATTTTTGCATACTTCTTTGAAATTTTTTTTCACACAGATAGGGTGGCACTAGAATTGTGATTTGTGTATCAAGCAGCAGGAAATAATTCACCTTGTCTCAATGGCTCAAAGCTGTTATAAGAAACAACCCTGGTAATGTAGAAATTAACAACAACGATGACCATGTTGTCCTGATAGGGTAGAGAATCTGGAAATCTGGGCATGATAGAGCAATCCTGTAATCCCAGCATTATGGAGGCTGAGGCTGGAGGACTCTCAAGTTCCCAGTCAAACTAAGTTACACAAGGAGAAAGACCCTGTTTCAATAAATGAATAAATCTAAGGACCACTGAAAGTGATACAGTTTCAACTGCCTCGAAACTGTATATTGTTAGAAAAATTTAATTCCATCTACCATTTTCTTTTGTTTTGGGGGAAAAGGGTACAGGGCCAGGCATGTGGAGACAGCAGGATAATCTGCAAGCTGGTGTTATCCCCCCATCATCCCATATGTTCTGGGTATCAATTCCAGGTTATCAGGCCTGGCATG